GAAAAAGAGTGGGGGTTGAGGGAGGGGCAGATATAATAAAAAGCATTGGGCTTTTAACAGCCACAATGGAAACTCAACAAAACAATGAAAGAAAATAAGTTTTAACCTAGAATCTTTATCTAGTCAAATCATTGGTTCAGTATGAGTTTAGAATAAAGGCATTTTTTGACATACAAAGTCTCAAAATTACACCTTACACTCACCTTTCTTCAGGAAATTACTCAACAGTATGCTCCACCAAAAGGAGAGGGTAAACTAAACAAAGACAATGCAGATTGAGAATGCAAGTGATCTAACACTGAAGACAGGGAAAGCAGCCAGGAAGATGGCAGACTCAGATTTAAGGAGCACATCAGTAAACAAGATACCCAAGTCCTTGCCCTCAAGGGCCTTATGTTCTAGTGAAGTAGCAACTCTCAAAATGGGGCCTGAAGACCCTTGGATTCCTACCAACCCTTTCAGGGCTCCAAGAGTCCAAAGCTGTTTTCATTTTAACACTGTTTAACTTTTACACTGAAGGTGAACAAAACCACTGACATCTTAGTACAAATCAGGGCAGAGGCATCACACCAGACTGTAGTCAGTCCATTCACTGCCACACAATCACAGTAAAAAAGAAAGGAAAGGAAGGGCAATTTCAATTAAGAATGTCCTTGGTGAAAGAGTACAAATCGTTAATTTTATTACATTGAATTCTTGAGTATACATCTTTTTCATTCTGTGTGATGAAATGGAAAATACACTTAATTTTATCATACCTGGAAGAATGAATGGTAAGTAACTGTCTCAAGAAGGGATACTTACGCATCTGAATTGCAAGCCCAACTAGCTGCTTTCATTATGCAACACTATTTTGTTAAACAACTGACAAATTATTCAGACTTCATTGTTTGGCAAACTTTTTCTCAAACATGAATGAAGACAGCCTTTCACTGCAAGGAAAAGTATTTGTTGCCAAGAATGAAATTCAAGCTCTCAAACAAAACTATGAATTTTGGATAATTTATATCTGCCTCTATGAGAATAAAGACTTCCCAAGTTAGATTTCTCTTACAAGATTCACAGTGATGTTAACAAATATGATACAATAAAGGGTGTCAACATTTGAAAGATATACCTAACTCAGTGAACCAGTATCTTCCAACTGTCCAGGCCCTGTAGCAAAAGCATGCATAGGAAAGATTCATTCATAGTGCAGGACAAAAACCGTAAATGTTAACATACAAGAGCAACAAAAGTTCATTGATGCTGTTTAAAATGCCACATTATAACCAACCCTGTGTCAAGGTTTGTGGTAGTGTCAAAAAAAAGCAGTTATCTGAAAAGGCTATGAAAACACTTATCTTTTCCAACAACATATCTGTGTGAAGCTGGATTTTCTTCATAAACTTCAGTCAAAGCAACTTATCTGGCCTGGGGTCACAGCTCAGTGGTAGAGCACTTGCCTAGCACATGTGAGACCCTGGGTTCAATTTTTAGCACTGCATAAAAATAAGTAAAATAGAGTTCTATCAACAACTAAAGAAAACAATTTTTTTTAAAGGCAACTGATTTCAATAGATTGAATGCAGAAGCAGATACAATAATCCAGCTGTCTTCTATAAAGCCAGACACTAGAGATTTGCAGAAATGGAAAGTAATACCATTTTTCTTATTATGTTTTGCTTTAAAAATAGCTATTTTTCACATCAAATATTACAATGTAGTAGGTTTATTATTTTATTTACTTTTATTTTTGGGTGCTAGGAATTGAACCCAGGGCCTTGTGCATGCAAGGCAAGCACTCAACCAACTGAGCTATATGCCCAGCCCTGGGTTTATTATTTTAATTGAAAAACATTTCAAAAAATTTGTTTTAATTACTATCAAAGTACGTATTAAAGATATTACCAAATAAATGAAACTTCCTGAAATTCTCAACAATTTTTTCAGCCTATAAAAGGATCCTAAGACTAAAGAGTTTGAGAAAACTGTTCTAAGTCACCTACAGTCATCACATTCTTTATTGCATCCTACTTATTAAGTCCCTGCATAGACATGAAGTAGAAAAAAAGTAAAGAAAAACATCCAGATAAATATCTTGCTGATACCCCCTCCCCCAAAAAAAAATCAATAGAAGGTGAGTTAGACTCATTTGTTCTAATTATAAATTATGTAGCTCATCCATAACAGAGACAGGGCGACTACCTTTAATCCAGAAAAGTTAACAGAAGATACGAAGATACTTCCTTAGTGGAACAAAACACACATTGGATGAAATTCCACTGTCACAAAACTACAAGTAATATTCAAGTGACTCATTTATATCTCAGAAAAATTACACTGCAGTATAATGAACTTCAGTAAGAGAAAAAAGGCAGCTTATAAAGCCAGAAATGGCAGCTAACTTCACTTATTCAGAAAAGAAAGGGAACACTAAAAGCAAGTGTGAGGTGGATCCCAAATGGACTTTATAAATGACAGGTACTGAGTTCCTACTTATACTCTAAATGCATACTTACTCCTAGCTTCCCATATCATTAGCATATAACTGAATACTCTTGCTCATTCAAGTCCTGGCGATTGACTTACATTACAAAGTCCTAGTGAGGAAGAACTCTTCATATGTAACACCACTGATAAGTTGCAATGAATGAAGAGACATTAACAGGTCTTTATGGTAAAGATAAGGATGAACATATCACAGATTTTCAGCTTTCCACAAGCTGACAATGTTCAATTTATCTGTAAGTGGAGAAAAAACACAGGGACCAAACTCCTACAACTCTTGGTTTTCTGTTCTCTAGTTCTTCCTAGTTTTAGCCTCATGATAACAAATATCACCCAACTCCTCCTAATACAGAAATGAAGTCAGAACAAATGATGACTACAGAATAACTTACAAAATTACCTTAGCAACAGTTTACAAATGTATTTTCTCATAAAGTTGTGATTGAAAATGTGAAAGATTGAAAGACATGGTCATTCAAGAAAAGACATCTAGCCAACTGGTGGCACAGGCCCATAATTCCAGAGATTTAAGAGGTGGAGGCAATGTGATCACAAGTCCAAGATCAGCCTGGGCAACTTAAAAAGACCCTCTCTCAAAAATATTGTTTTAAAAAGCACTGGGAATGTAGCTCAGTTGTAGAGGGCTTGCCCACCTTTTGCCAGGGTTCAATTCCCAGTACCACCAAAAAACAAATAAATAAACCAGAGAGAACTGAAAGGCATACACAAAGATGGTTCTGTTACTAATAAGTGAACAAGAAGCAGTTTTTTTTTTTTTTTTTTTTTTTTTCAGAAAATAGGCAATCAGTTTGAGAAACAAAAGTTTCAAGGACTGGGCTGGGCTGTAGCTCAGTGGTAGTGCACTTGCCTGGCATGTATAATGTTCGATCCTCAGCACCAAATACAAATAAATAAAGATATTGTGTGTCCATCTCCAACTAAAAAAAATATTAAAAATTTTCTACGATATGGCAATTTATAAGTCCTTCTCTACCACTCACTCATTCATTAGTATATCAAGCCATAATCTTTGATCCTGACTATACCATAAGAAAAAAAAAAAAAAGAAAGGAAAAAGATCAGTCCTCTCAGTGGGAAATCAATCCACCTCAAAGAGGTTTAAAAAAAAAAAAAAGTTAAGATGGGCTGAAACTAGCATACAAAGAAGTTCACAAACATGTTCAGAACCAGGAAAAAGCAATGGAAGAACAGAGGTAAAATTTGGTCCTAAGGAAGAAAATCTTCAAAAGGGATAATGCTGCCCAAGCTCTCCTCCTATGGCAAGCAAAAATTCCTTGATTAGTGCCTTTTTTATTTTAAAGAGGAATTCCTCCAATGGTTCGAAAATGAAAGCAGAAAATATACTTATGAATCCATCCCAAAGATCCTATTGTAGAAATTCTCCAATTTGTAACAGCCCCGCACACAGAGTATTCTGGGACTAGTGGAGGCCAGTTAACAGACAGGTGCCAGGTGCCTTTGTCTCTTTCAGTTTCAGACATTTTAGCCCTCTTATTGAACAAAACACGGCAATAAAGTGCTACCACTTAGCAAGAAATCTCCTCTGTCTGCAAAGAGAGTGAATATTTATAGACTTTAAGACTAGAGAAGCTCTCAAAGGATACCTCATTTCCCCACAAGGTTACACCTGTCACATCTCCTCCAATTCTTCTCTTGGAGCCTTCACATCTAAGCTCAAAAATGACAACTCGAATACTTTCCTGTGACAGCACTAGGCAATTGAATTTAACTACCTACCACCTGATTAAGTGGAACACAACTGGGTTACTACTAATTCTGGAAATTTAAAAACAAATTTTTCCTTAGGTTTCCGGTCTGTGTTTAAAAATACAAAGTCTAGCCAGGCGCGAGGCGCACACCTGGCACCCCTGCACCCCGGGACGCTGAGCCAGGAGGTCACAAGTTCGAGGATAGCCTTGGCAACTTGGCGAGACCCTGTCTCAAAATAAAACAAAAAATGGCTGGCGATGAGGCTCAGGGGTTAAGCACCCCTGGGCTCAATCTCCAGTGCCAAAAAAATAACGATATGTAAATACAGCATGTGAGCGAGAAGTGACCCTAGAGTCACCCGGAATGAAGATCAGGCAACGTGCACTGTGGACACGATCACTGCCCACAAAAGCAGCAGTTCAAGGGCAGCATGGCTGTCACGTGGCCCCAGCCCACAGCCGCGGACACCCGCAGGCCCTGGGGGGCGGGTATCCCTACGTCCCGCAGGAGGTTGCCGGAGGCCGGGAAAGGAGGCAGGGGTTAGAGGGCGGGAGGCCGAGGTCGGGGAGAGCGGGGCGAGAAGGCCTCTGCCCGCTGCCTTAGCCACCCGAACCCTACCGCCCCGCCCCACCTCTGCACCCGCCCCGACCTCGGCTCCCCGCCCCGGCCTTCCTCCAAGTCCCGGCCTCCGCTCCCCGCCCCGGCCGCGCCAGCCCCGCGCAGCCTCAAGCCCCAGCAGGCCTCGGGCGTCGCCCCCGGGCCCGGGACACCGGCATCACCTGGGTCTGGGCCTGGGGCTCGCCCCTGCCGTGCCGAGTCGGCCCAGAAACCTCCTCAGACCCCGCGCCGCCGGCGGCCTCGGAACTTGCCTCAGTTCAAGCGCAGCGCCTTCCGGGTTCCCGCGCCAGGCAGCCGCAGCTGATCTGTCGAGTGCATCGATGCAGGCTGCCAGAGGTGAGAACGCCGAGGAAGTCGATTGTCACCACGCCAATTTTTTTGTTTAGTGTTTCTTTTGCGTGCGTGTATAATTGGATTTTCTTGTTCCCAAAAGCAATAAAGGTGGGACTGAAGAATGTAATCGCCTGAGTGATTGCCTCTATCGTCACAGATAATCAGGAAACAAATCAGCTTCGTAGAAAGTTATGTTAAGACGCCTACACGTACTAAAATTGGTCATCTCCTGCTGGGGGGAGGGGGAAACTCGCCCAACAATAATAAATCATGGGAGTGTGCCTGTATAGAGTCGTGTGTGATTAAATTGCAATGATTTATTTGCAAAAATACATTAAAAGTCGATGTTTCTTCTGCCCTGAAGGTGAAGGCACTCACAGGGTGGGTGCAAATTAGTTTCTAAGACTCAAGTAACTGGTTGGTGGAGAAACAGGAGAAATCTGCCTGATGGAGGAAGAAGAAGTTTGTTTTGGAGATTTTAAAATTTAAATCAATATAAATTAAAGCAATCTGGCATTTTCTATTACTCATTCTATATTACTTACTTGTCCTGGTATGACAATCATTTTTATTTAAGTAAACAAAGCTAATGAGGCACATCAACTGTTAGCCTTGCTTTGGGGCCACTATAAGAACCAATTCATTCACAACTATTACAACATAATCAAGCTAACAGTTTTCTGCAGATATCAGATGGGGAAAATCACCACCACAATGCGTTTCTTTCTCATAAATAACTGTATGTAGTTAGCCAGTCATGAGGGATGGTTTTAAAACTTATCTGCAACACTGCATATTTATTTTAAATAATTAAAGATCTGGGGAATCCTTGGGGTTCCGAATTTTATTGGAGTCTGTATATCTGTCCACAGGCTGTCAGCTGAGCTTCACCCTCAATGATTTTTTTCCTACGCTGCATTTTGAAAAATCCTGCCTCCAGAAAATGTTTGCTGTTCAGTGAAATAACGTCATTAGAACTTCATTGCACATACTAATACATGATTATAAAACGTTGGATTTTTAAAAAATTAAACTTCATTTAGGCTGGTAAGAAACTGTGCTGAGATACTGAAGACTTCTCATCACTCTGATGTCAGCATTACCATTTCTAACTTAAAATGAACCAATAAACTGTGATCATGGGAAATATATTGGTTTCAATTAAACAACGGTTGTATCTGAGCCTTCTCATTTATGTTTTGGAATATGAGTTCAAACTCAAAAGTCATCTACTTAAAAGGACAAAGCAGTAACTGCAGGATCTCCGGATCCCTTATCAGACTTCCAATAGAAGTTATTTTGGAGCTGTTTGTGAATAGGTATTTAACACCTTCACTTGAGATCTCTTGAAACACCATATCCATTTAACTGAGTCCATTACTGGTTATTATGCTAAATAATTCTAAAAACTGAGTTTCATAAAGGATAACATTTCTATGATTATTCCCCTCTGATAGTATCAAAATTAATGTTATTACAGATAGTAGACCAAAACTCAATGTGAAATTGTTTCTAAATTCATATAACTTTGGAAAGGATGAGAATTTGAGACTCTTCTGGAGTAACAAAAGCAAATGCTCCTATAATCATAAATACCTAAAAACGATTTCTAAAAAACATGATTTTCATATTTCTTAAATTCACCAAATGTGAACATTTTAATCCAAGGATTATTGTGGAATAACAAAGTTATATATAGTCTCTAATTACATACATTTGAGAAAACCCTTATATATCAAATTATAATAGTGTTTTCTTTTTACAGATGTTTCAGGTGGTTTTGATCCAACTTCTCAAATTATCAACTAAGTTCATTTTGTTCCTTTTAGGTAGAATATATGCATCCTAATGTGTAATTGCTTTTATTTTTACTAATAGTATGAGATCCAAGATAATGAACAATTATTTTTAACTGTATTAATATTTAATGTATTTAAAAACGTCCCCGAAACAGCATATTTGTTACACATTCAAGTAAATGTAACTTTCCTGAGTACATATTCTTTTGTGGCTATATACAGGCATTTGTACAGCAAGCCTTGTCCTGAAATACAGACAAATGACTCGGTAATATAGATGTTCCTCCCATATAACAAATGGTTTCCATGAAAACAGCCCAAAAATATAATTTTAAAAATTTAAATCGTATGGGGGGATCTTTCTTTCCAAGAGCATCTATTTTTGAACAGTCCACGATAAACAAAAGTAGCGAAGCTCAAACTTAATATGGTTGTTTTTATTTTGTTTTTCAAAATCAGGAAAACAACTAGAATGTTTCCCAGGATGCGGGGGGGAAAAAAGCCCGGGTCGTTCTTTGTGGGAGGGGTCCCGGTGCAAGGAGTCGTAGGAGAGGTCGAGTCCTGGGACCTCAGAGAGAAAACGAAGTCGAACTGTCCTTGACCAGAAGCTAAGGAAACACTTTAAAATGGGATCTGTCAGGGAACAGCTGCTCAGGAAACATGTTAAATCGACCGGGCCCTTCAAGCGGGATCTGCCCGTAGAGGACTGGGGTCGTAGGGTGAATTACATCGACCGGGGCGAGGAGCTTGGTGAGGAGCCAGGCATAGCCTGGCTTCGGGCCGGGAAGCTCCTAAAAGGAAGTGTACGGGTTGAGAAGCTGCAGAGAACCCTGACTCGGGGCAGGCTTGAGAAGCCAGGACGACGCCTGACGCGGAGCGGTGGATCTGCGGGACCCAGGGCGGCAGGTTAGGGATGCGAGACTCGGATGCAGGGCAGAGACCAGGGGTCAGCAACGGGAGGCCGAGCTTCCGCGCAGAACCCCAGAGCGGACGAGGCTGCAGGGTCCAACACCCAGTGCAGAAACCAGACCCACTCCCGCAGCGCACTTGTCGGTCTCCTCTTAGCCCCGCCCCCGCGGAGTCCATCCCGCTCCCCAGTGTTTAACTAAGTCGTGACACCAACGCAAAATCCACGCCTAATTAAATTAATTAGGGATTCTTGTCAATCCTGGATTAATGGCCAAGAGCACAGGCGGCCGGAGCTATCTGAAAACCCCGACCGCCGGGGACCTGCCTCTTCTCCCCGCCCCCTGTGGTCCCCTTTGCTGCCCTCCCACTCCAGCCCGCGCGGACTCCAACCTCGATCATCCCTCTCTCCTCTCTCCATCTCTCTCTCTCTCTCTCTCTCTCTCTCTCTCTCTCTCTCTCTCTCTCATCCCTGGCTCCCCCCACCCCACCCCAGGTAGTGGCGCGGCTGCTACCCGGGAAGGGGCCCGCTCGGAGTTGCGAGGGGAGGTAATTTACTCAGAACAAGGGGCCGCCTTTAGGAAGTATAAATAGTGAGACTTCAAGCGCAGCGTCGCTATCAGATCTGAACTCTCCGCAGGAAGAATTGTCAAAGATCTTAACATCGAACAAGCGCGCTCCGGCAGGGAAGCATCAGTTCCCATTTCCCTCCGGCGCCCCCGCCCTTCTCTCCTCCTCCTCCCCCTCCTCCGCGTCCTCCTCGTCCTCCTCCTCTTCTTACTTCTTTTTCTCCTTCTACTTCTCCTCCTCTTTCTTCTTTCTTCTCCTTTTCTTCTTCCTCCTCCTCCCTCTCCTCCCCCACCCCTGCCCCATTGATGTGTTATTATTGGGGGGGCTGGAGCAGTAAAAAAAGGAGGAGGAAAAAAAGAGCGGGGCTCGGCAGGGAGCGGTCGAGCGCGGGGCTGCCCGGCGGCGGCGATGGAGGAACTTACGGCGTTCGTCTCCAAGTCTTTCGACCAGAAAGTGAAGGAGAAGAAGGAGGCCATCACGTACCGGGAGGTGCTGGAGAGCGGGCCGCTGCGCGGGGCCAAGGAGCTGGCGGGCGGCGGCGAGCCGGGCCGTGAGGACCGCAGCAGCCCGGCAGTCCGGGCGGCCGGCGGAGGCGGCGGAGGAGGAGGCGGAGGCGGAGGCGGAGGAGGCGGAGGAGGCGCGGGAGGAGGAGGAGCAGGCGGAGGAGCTGGAGGAGGGCGCTCCCCCGTCCGGGAGCTGGACATGGGCGCTGCGGAGAGGAGCAGGGAGCCCGGCAGCCCGCGGCTCACTGAGGGTAACGGCCTGACCCCGGCCGCGGTTCCCCTTCCCGCCTTCCGACTCGGCTCGGGCGGGAGAGGACCCCGAGGCCCAGCGGGGAGGGGCGACTCGCGGGGAGAGCCCTGTACCCGGCTCTGGGCACTGGAGCGATCGTGGGGTTGGGAGTCAGCGTTGTGCACGGTCGTGGGTGGGGTCCTCGTGCGGGGGAGGGTGTGAGATTTGGGATCCTTCTTCCTGGATGCTCCCATTGCACCGAAATGCATGTTTTTGGCAGCTGCAGGATGGGCCCGCAGCCCGGACGGCCCAGGGGTGGACGTGGAAGTTCTCGGGGCGGGCTTCGAGAAGAGGTGCTAGCAGGGGCGGGCCAGGCGGCCAGATTAAGGCTAGCGTCTCCGCTGACTTTGCCGGAGCCTCTTTCCGAGGCCTGAGGGAGAGAGAGGCTTCGACCTCGGGTTGAAGCTGCCGGCTTTGGAACTGTGGCTAAAAGCCCTGGAACTCCGCAGAGACCCTGAGTCTCTGGATCTTGGGGACTAAAACTTCCCGTTCGCTTTACGCCTTCAAGGCAGAACCGAGCCAAGGCGAACTAAGGTCCAGGCTATAAGCTCTGCTCCCGGCTGAGGCGTTGAGGTTCCTGTTTGAGACTTGTGCTTTACACAATTCCTTTACTACTCCCAATTATCAGGTTCTTCAGTGTGTGTGTGTGTGTGTGTGTGTAGGGGGTCCTTTGGTGCCAGGGAAGTGTTAGGAGATGGCTTTATCTAAATGGTGAAGCGTCCTGTACCAATTCAAAAGAGTTGAACAATAAAATTAATTTGGCACTTGGTACTGCAGTAACTGGTGTACAGCCATATTTTTCCAATTAAGAAAATATGTGGCATGCGTAGAATCACATATTTAAGCAAGCAATTAAGTTGTTTATAACACGGTCTGTTCCTGTTTAGGCCATTAAGTGGAAATTTGGGGGCGAAATAGAAATTATATTAACTCCATTAATCAACTTGAAATGTAGACTTCTTTCTCTTTGAAGCCCCAAAACTTTGAGGGGCATCCACTGTATGGATGACAAGAAATAACAAAGCCTTCCCGCCCCTTTGGCAGAATCTGATGATATGTTTTCATGTTTAAATTTCACTGCAGTATCAGTAGGATTATTTCCCTATTAAATTGACTCTAATGTTTGCTATAATGTTAATCTACTTCCTTCCTGGAGGAAAAACAAATGCCCACAAAACGAAATCTGAGAACTAGAAATGCGGGCAACACTTAAGATTATCCTATCCAGAATGCTAGACTGGAGTGAGATCTATGGCTGTTCTTTTCCCAGAACCATCACCAGGTCCTCCTAAATTTGGAAAGTGATAGGGTAACTGTCAGGGTGCCCAGCGCTACCTCCCAACCTTGGGTCCACAGCCCCAGGCCTTTGGTTCATCAATGTGCTACACTGGGAGATTCAGGTCTGAAATCTCTGTGAGCACAGTTCCTGAAATTGTTGATTTCTGAGATCGCGGCAAGTTTTAATTTCTCTGTAGATCGGCTTTTCTGCAAATGATTTTTAACCCTTATGTTGATCAGGATCCTAGATTGGGAAGAACTGCAAACAGACAGGACTATCTAAAACTCTGTTTTGATACTTTAAATACCCTAATCTCTGACTCAGGCGCAGAGAAAATTCAGGTCGGCACTAGGGTGCAACTCCTCTGATCACTGTCCTTTGGCCTAATTTTTTTTTAATTACACACACACACACACATTTCAGTGGCTCTGTGTATTCACGCAGAGCTCCTGTTTCTAAAGGGAAGAGAACAGGAAAGTAGCAACGGATGTGTGCAGACCCAGAGTAAAAAAAAAAAAAAAATGCATATTTTATTAAACATCCGTGCTGCTGGGTGCATGAAAAGGCTTTGAGCAACCAATAGAAACCGAGGATTGGGAATGTTCCTCTTGAACCTGTTGATCTCTGTGGGTTTAAGCGTTTAGGGTCGAGTCTACGTTTCCACGGGGTAGGGAGAAGAACAGAACAGAGGCAGCAGTGGGTTTCGTGGACCATCCGAGGCTGGTTTTCCGCCTCTTGCCTTCTGGCGGGGCTTGGGCGGCGAGCCCTCCAGGCCGCCAACATGGCGTGGGCTCCTGTGCTCCTGGTACCCGGGTCCCGCAAGGGGATTGGGACTGCCCGGCTGCCGGTGGAACCATCCACAAGGTCTGGCCCCAGCCCTGGGGCAACGCGGAGCACCGGGGGATGCCGGCTTCCTGCGCAGCGCAGCACCGGGGTCTTAATATGCCTTTACGATCCTTCGATCCTTCGGCCCAATTGTTCCTAAATTAGACCAGCAAGTTTGCGGGAGGCAAAAGGCTAGCGGCAGCGAGAGCTGGCCTGACAACAGGCCCGCACTCTGGGAATGGCTGGAGTGAAAGACCAGTCCCTGACTCGCCGCGCCCTTCTACCCAGAGCGCGCTCTGGGAGAGGCCGGGCGCGGCGCTTGTGGTTGTGGTTTCTGTGAGTGCGTGGGAAAGTGAGTGCGGGAGAGGGTGAGTGGAACACATTTGGTGTTTGCGGGAGAAGGCAGGAGACTAAGCGAGGGATAGTGGGGGCGGTGAGCCTAGGCCAAATTGCGGAGGAGATGGGTGGCCATAAGCCCACTGGCAGCCTCTGAGACGTGACCTTTGTGCGTCTCTTGTATCCTCTTCCTCCCCGCAGGGCAAGGGGCAGGACAGGGATTCCACGAAGGGTTAGGATCCTCTACCCCTCTTTGAGGAAAATCTGGTAATGGGGTTTGCTGTGCTGTTTTTGTCTGTGTATATGTTGGTGTATGTGTGCATGGACACACGTGTGGTCCGATATGTGGTGCCCTCTCCAGTGTCCCCCGAGTTGAAGGATCGCAAAGAGGATGCTAAAGGAATGGAGGACGAAGGCCAGACCAAAATCAAGCAGAGGCGAAGTCGGACCAATTTCACCCTGGAACAACTCAACGAGCTGGAGAGGCTTTTTGACGAGACCCACTATCCGGATGCCTTCATGCGCGAGGAACTGAGCCAGCGACTGGGGCTGTCGGAGGCCAGAGTGCAGGTACTGGACTGTGAGGTCTGGGCTGCGACCAGGGAGCCCAGAGCGATATGCCTAGGGTGGGACAGGCAGGTGGGGGACACACACGAGTGTCTGATATGAGGTGAAAAGGGGAGGAATGTCTGTACTAGGGTCTTATTTTCTAGAGTAGATCTTAATCCTATGGCCCCTTCCCCCCATCCCATCTCAACATATGTTCCCCACAGAAGAGAGCTGTGCTGGGCTTGCTCCCAGAGTTTCTATAAACCACACCACTCCCCCCCCCCCCTTGCCTCGCTCTGGCTTTAATGTGGTTTAATCCTAATGGGCCTACTTTTATAAGGCTTAAAAAAAAAAATCCCACGGAAAACGTTTTATCTCTGGATGCCTTTAAAAAGTTACAAAGAGTATTTTACTCGCCCGAGTCGGGTTTTCGTTGAGGGTCTGTTCCGGGGTCTAGGTTTGCCAAGCGGATATGCCAATTAGGTTTATAGATGTACAGGCTATAAAGGAAATTAGCAACTGTTAAATGCAGAAATTTACAGTCTACTGTTAGCGGTCAATCCCAAACCGTGTGTGAAACAGTGGAGAAATAAATGCATTTGGTCACTCTTTGTTCGCTTATTCAAGGCAAGGAAACGGAACCTGCCGAAAGAAAGAGATTTTAAATTTTAAAACATCCCACAGATTTTACCGTTGGCATTTCCGAAGCCTTAACTCAACCAGTGCCATCCCCCATGAAGTTATGATTGCAGATTTTCTTTATTGGATGTTGAGGTGGATGTAATAGCAAAAGTAGGCTTTGGGAGCATTTAAGAGGGGAAAATTATATATGTGCGCACATACATACAATCCTTCCAGTTTTATGGGGAACAAATTCAAACGTTTCAGATTGTATTTCCGTTCGAATAATAAAAGAGGAGAAAATGATGGTCATTATTTGAACACATGGAGCAGTTTTAGGCTCGAACATCTGCAGCTGCTACAAAGTATGGCTGTAACAGATACTCCCCGGGTCTCTGGGCGCAGAGACCACCATCTGTAGCGAACTATGCGCAATTCTTATGGGGCTTCCCCGCGTCTTGTAATAGGATCAGGGGTGGGGGGAAACACAGCCGTACTGTTGAAGAAGAGTAATAATAGGCAGGCTTGGTCATCATAGCACCAACAGCAGGGCCTCCCTTTCTGAGCCTCTCCTGCTTTGCTCTACATACTAAGATCTCTAGAGGCTCAACACCCCCTTAAAACCATGATAATTATTACAGTTAGGAGTATTACTATCTCAATTCCATTCTTCCAGGGGAAAAGAGTCAAGAAGCCTCAGGCCATGTGAGTTGCATAAAGAATGTCGCTGTGGCATGAAATCCACCCTTCTATTATACTAAAAAGCAGGGGAATATTTGAAGATTTACATTGACTATAGCACTTGCTTTCAAACACATACCAGAAAAGGCTCTGAAGCAATATTTTCCTTTCATGGGGTTTTAAAACATTAATTTGTAAATCAATCAATATGCTGTATTTATTGGACCTGGAGCATAAAAGCAAATTTTATTTGAATTTTTAAAAATCTGCCATCCCTGCTTCTAAAAGTTGGCAAGTTATTTAAGATGGTAATACCCAGAAAATAGAGCCCAGGACTCCCCCCACCCCACCCACTTTCACAGAGTGTTCTGTTTCTCTTAAGGAGTGAACCTTATTGTTGCTCTTGATTTTTTTTATACTTTCATTTAAGTTTTAGAGCTATTTTCTACAAGCTTCCCTACTGTCCTAACTGCAAGCCTCGGCTTTTTCTATAGAAGCAAATTAGATTATCATGATAATGGCACAAGTATTCTGCTACTTTGTTACCCTCTGCTGCACAGAGGAGCAGAGAAAATTCTCAACTTCTTTGTAGTGAGCCCTATATGACACTAATTACCTCTCCCTCCTTACAATATCCCTCCCCCCAAAAGAGGCATTATTTGCTTTAGTGTTTGGTTTTTCTTCAAGATGAAGCTAATTAATGTTACAAGCTATTACTTAGCCCATTCCTCTCAGGTTTTAACTGAGCAAACATTTAAACCCATTATCACTGTGGTGTCAGGTACCAGAGAGAGTTTTAGGCCTTGGGGACCCTATGGAAAGATGAAACCAGGACCAATAATTATTTGCCAGGAAATGTTTTTATCTTGCAAAAGTCTATGAAACCTTTCTATTTTGTCATTTACTTACATTTTTAATTTTGGAAATTGAGGCTATTTTATATAATTCAAAGACGGCTTGTTATATCTCCCAACTCTTACCTAAACACTGCTCTTTGATTTGTTGTTGTTGTAATTTTCTTTTGTAATGTAAAACATTTTTTGAGTCATAACATCTAGGTGTTTCCTCCCCCCCCCCCCCCAACTTGTAGGTTTGGTTTCAAAATCGAAGAGCTAAATGTAGAAAACAAGAAAATCAACTGCACAAAGGTATGTTTCTCCTATAAGAAACATTTGATATTCTAAGTGAAAAGGGGGGTTATTGTTGTTAGGAAAACAAAACAAATTTCAGACATTGATGGTCCTTGATTTGAGAAGGACAGAAAGTCCTAAAGTTTGGGAGTAAGTTACATTTATTTTAAGTATGACAGAAGTTTAGAAAGGTAACCATACAATTTCGAAGGAATCAGTTCTAGCTTGTACAATTCAGAAACCTGGAGAACAACACTGGAAATGTCAACCCCACATTGTGTTTTGTTCCCCTGTTTTCACAGGTGTCCTCATAGGGGCCGCTAGCCAGTTTGAAGCTTGTAGGGTTGCACCCTATGTCAATGTAGGTGCTTTACGGATGCCATTTCAGCAGGCAAGTACAGACTCTTCCAGCTATTTTTAAATGTGAAAAGACCTGAATGTTTGATTGGACTGTTGAATGTCCCCCTATCTCTGAGCCCTAATGTCCACACAGTTGAAGAATCAGAATGATATAGTGGACCCATTCTTCTTTAAGAACCTATACCGTGTCATGGTCCTGAATTCTTAGTCATGTTTTCATGGGAAGCCGGCAGGGGCCTGAGAGTAGTAACTGATACTTTCAAAATGCACTGAAGATTGCACTTGGGGAGAGGAAGGAAAGGCCTTTTGATTAAGATTTTGTCAAATCCAACACACAGGTTAGTCCTCAGGCACTTCTAAGGAAGCTCTCTGAATATTTTCTTATAGGTATTTTCTACCTTTTAGTCACATTAAATGTCTCCCACAGAAAGAAAATAAATAAATACAAATACTACCAACTCAGACTTGTTTTTAAAAAGCTTCTGTGGAAACAAAGCTTCATCTCTAATGGAGAGGGAAGGTTTGGTCTTCCCCGGGCTGCCCAGCCTCCGCAATCCCTTTCTTAGCCATAAAGAAACCTTTAAGACTACATTTTAAAAGGACAGCCTGCAGCAATGATTTAATCCTGGGAAATCCCAGTGCTCTGAACTCCCCGCTTTCCAAGCCTGAGGGCAAAATCCTTTCCCAACCAGTGCCTGACCTTCCCCATCCTCAGCCAGGACCCCTACTCAGCAAGGCTGTGATGTCAAGAATTAGCTCTAGTCGCCTGCACCCTATACTGGGGAGACACCTGGGTGAGCTCCTATATTAAGAGTTAGTGTTAGGGAGATTTTAACTCTCTTGGCACCACAGGACTCTGGCATCTGGTTGTGGGCTTTGGAAATAAGAGAGAATGATTGAAGAAAGAGGGAGGGAGGAACTCCAGAGGAAATTGGTACTACTCAAAGTGGGAGATCCAAGGCCAGCAATATCAGCACTACCTGGGAGATATTTAGAAACTCAGAATCTCAGGACTCAATAATGCAGATTCAGAATCTGCATTTTAACAAGATTCCCAGGTAATTCTTATGGTAGGAAAAGTTAGGAGTACTGACTCACAATTATGTCAATTATGGTGAAGATACAATAATTTCCCTAAGTGTCACAAAAGTTTTGTGGCTTGCTTGTTGGCACTTCAGAGCTTTAATAGTGGGACAGAAGTCATGTTCTAGCAATATAAATAGATGGCCCTCTCATTCATCCGCCCCACTCCCCAAGGAGCAGCCTCATTTCTGAAGACAGGGAGCCGGGGGCTCAGGGAAAAGCCCCACATTGAGTGAATCCTGAAGACCCCTGACACTGCAGTAGGCATATGGTGCCCCAGATTCAGCAACAGGCTGAGAAAGTCACACTCCAGACAAGATCTCAGCCGCACTCCCCTCCCTACCCCCCGACCCTAACCCTTTCCCAGCTAAGCCGGACGCTGTTAATGCTCTGTTTCTATTCTGTTGTCACCCTAGGATAGTCATTGCAACGTGACGCCCTTGTCCTTTCAGGTTCAGGCGCAGCTGCAGCTGGACAGCGCCGTGGCGCACGCGCACCACCACCTGCACCCGCACCTGGCCGCGCACGCGCCGTATATGATGTTCCCGGCGCCGCCCTTCGGACTGCCGCTGGCCACGCTGGCCGCGGACTCGGCCTCTGCTGCTTCGGTGGTGGCGGCGGCCGCCGCCGCCAAGACCACTAGCAAGAACTCCAGCATCGCGGATCTCAGACTGAAAGCCAAAAAGCACGCAGCCGCCCTGGGCCTGTGACGCCAGAGCCGCCACCGCGCCTGCGAGGGGCGCGCCCGCACCGCCTCGCCCCGCTGCTCCTCGCTGCCCTGCAGACCTCCGACGCCGCCCTCTTCCGCCACGCTGGCCGCCCCTTGTCTCTCTGCATCCCTGACTCTGAGCGCCGGGCTCTGCACGGGATCCAGGGCTGCACGAGGCACGCCAGTCCCGTAGCTCCTGGCCACCCACCGACCGTGGGCCTAGAAGGCTTTATAGGAGCTGGTTTGCGGGAGTCTGGAAAGAGACTGGACAAGGGAATGCTGGCACAGCGCAATGCGGCTCAGCAAAGCTGCAACGATGGATTCTTGCATAGAAACAAAATCTTGTTGACAATATAAAACGAGGAAATACAAGATAGAAAAGACAAACCAGAGAGAGAGAGAGAGCGAGAGAAGGAGAACAAAAACTTCTTATTGCTGTTTGGGATAAGCTGAAATCGGAGACAGAAAAACGGAGCAAAACAATTTTAAAAATTAAAGTATTTTATACATGTAAAAATAAGGGGAAATAACCAGGACGAATCTCGAGAGAGAGGGGGGAGGGAGTTACCAACTTAAATGTATGTTTTTTTAATGGGCTAAGAAGAAGGCAAAAACAGAAGGAAGAGGTATACTTATTTAAAGAATTAAGATGAATAAAGTGCGCAGCTGGGAAGTTCACAGGTTTTGAAACTGACCTTTTCTGCGAAGTTCACTTTAATACGAGAAATTTGATAAGAGAGGCGGGCCTCCTTTTACGTTGAATCAGATGCTTTGAGTTTAAACCCACCACGTATGGAAGAGCAAGAAGAGGGAAGACAGTATGAAAACGAAGGAAGGGAAAAAAATGATGTTAATACAATGCAGTGATGCCACAGACAATGATTCTGAGAAATGATGGCAGAACTGTCCGGACTGCGACAGTAAATTCTGGTTTGCATGTTACTTGTATTCCATTGATGGTGTCTTCCCCCTGTCACCATCACTCATGTACACGCACTTCATTTTCATCTTCAATAGAAAAGCGTCTGAAAATTTATACATATACATATAGACATATATGTATATATATAAAATGTGTAGATTTTTTTGGCCTCATCTTTGATCCTGGGGAGGCACAGAAAAATGAAAACATCGAAATGGGGAAAAGTTACACTCTGGTTGTATCAAGAAGATAGAACTGGGCAGAAAATGTGGGGAAAAGAAAAAGAAAGAAGGCCAAATGAAATAATGATGGTATACCACCTTGCATCCTGGGACACCTAGTAGGCGCTCCACCAGTGTTAGTTTGCTACACCCCCCTTTTCTTGTATTCCCTCTTGCTGATTTCCTGAAGTCCTATTTGAGGACACTGCTTTATTTCCCCCTCTCTATCCTGTCAAATTCACCTTAAACAACACCCAGCTAGATACAGGCACTAGGTTTGTGTAAAATATGTTGATACACACAAACAAAATTTATTTTGGCTATAATGTGTGAACTGATGGTTGACTTTCAACATTTGCATTTTATCTCACAAAGGTGTATCTATTCAAGTAATCTTTTTTCGGTTGTTTGTTTCAATTCATGTAGCTATTTAAACCGGGATATGCTCGACTAAGCAATGGGCATCCCGATTCTCTAGCAGGCCTCTTAGTTGTGTGTGTGTGTGTGTGTGTGTGTGTGTGTTTCCTTCTAATTTACAAGAAAGAGGAAAAGCTCTTCTAACTGAACTTTGGTATGCGGTTGAGCTTTGTAACTATTTGTTCTCCATGAAAACAAAATTATTTATATTTGCCATATTTTTTCTAGTGTATTAAGTTATTTTAAACAAAAGAAGATGCTGTTATCTCATGACGTGTTGTCAGTACAAAATGTCTCAGCTCCACCTCTGTTAAACCTTTTAAATAAGTGCCAAGTTATTAATCGAAGACACTTTGCGATCAATTGAATGAAAATAGCATTGTTTCATTTGATGGGGTTCGCGTCATCTTTGTTCCTGTTACTATTAAAATATCCAGGATAGTCTTTTCTTCTTCCTTGTTGATGAATGTGTAACTATATTTCGAATATACCAACTTGCAAAAGCACTCTCCTGTGCTCCTACGTGCAGCAGTCTGGGGGTGAGTGGTGGCTCTGTGCTCTGTGGCTCTCCACCATCAGCGCTTCTCCTCCCACCCCACGGAATGCACCCAGTCTAGATACCGGTTATGCCAAGTTCTTAAGGGAACAGGTAATATGTAAAATAACAGAGTAGAATAATCTCCTTCCCCAAGACAGTTTTTCGTTTTTTATTTTGCTATGCTGTCGCCCTTGAAGTTTATTTGAGGACATTTTGGGAGGAAGAAAAGAGTGATCACGCGGAATCCACCTGGGTTTGAATTGTGTTCTGTCGCTGGCTTGCGAGTGGGCGAAGCGCAGTGGAGGCGAATCCCCCACCTCTCTTTTCTGTTCATCGCCTTGTAGGTACAGTTCAAAAGCAGAACAGAGGACGGTGTTTTAGGAAAAGCTCGGCCTTGCTGGTCCTCAAACTACACAGGAGCTTGGTCTCCCCATCTCTTGGCCCCTTTGGAAGAAATCCCACTAGTTACGCTTAGAAGAGCTGAGCGTCATCGGATGAGCAGAGACCCAAAGACACAGACTTGGCCAGCCCGGGTTTTATTTAGTATGTGGTGACCCTTCGCGAAGAGGGTGTGTGTGTGTGTGTGTGTGTGTGTGTGTGTGTGTGTGTGTGTCCCCTCTGGCCGCCGGCGTCCCCAGCTGGGAAGTGCCTGGAATCGCGCGGCCAACCTCTCGCCCTGTCACCGCGCTCCCCGCTGTCACCAACCAGCCGTGCCCCGGCCCGAGCTCGCGCTCCGAGTTGCCCCGGCAGTCCAGATGTGGGCAATGCGTTTCTGCTCCCAAAGGCCAGGGGACTGGGCTTGCGGCCTGCAGCTCCAGGCCTGGCGGGTTTCGCGGCGGATGAACTCTGCAGCGTGTTTAATAAGCATCTGCCCCCGGGCGTGGTGCGCCCCGAAGGGGCCTCGTCGCCCACTGCGGCCTGAGGCCTCGGGCGAGCTCAGTAGCCGCTGGGGTTAGGCGTCCGAACCCGCAGGCTCCAGCCCCAGCCCTAACCCCGCCCGGACGTGGTTCAGTGCCCAGGGCCCCCGGGGCAGGGGAGAGGGCGGCTCCGTGGAACCCTGGAGGCGCCCTGCCGCTGAGCTGTGAGGAGCCGAGGCCGAGGTGCGTGCGGGCCAACCGGCCAGGACCTGGACCGCACCCGCATGGCCTGGAGTCTGAGGGCTGCAGGCGCGGGCTGAGACCTGCGGGACCCGCCGGAGTGGTGTGTAGGACTGACGCTCCCTCGTGCCCCGCGCTTCGTGCCCCTCGGAGGCTAGCGGCCGCTTGCGGGTCCCCATTGAGCAGGGCCCTTAGGGTCCAGGCTTCCGAGCACGCTCACGCAGGGCAGGCTTTCCCGTATCGCCGCGGCCCAAACTCTCCTGCGGGCGTCTGAATGAACTGGGTCCAAATCCGACTTCCCTGAACCATCCTGAGAGAGGGGCCTAGGAAATCTTCCCTTTGGATAAGGCCCGACGGCCCCGATGTGCGTATTGTTTTGGGATCCTTGCCCCCAATACTTCAAGGAGTGCAACCCACCCCCTACCTCCGCCAACGTTACAGAATCCATGCTTGGGGAAAAGTCAGTTAAAAGAGATTATCCAGGACGTGATTAGTGTTAAGGACCCTATAAGCCAAGAGTCCTAAGAAGATCGGAGGCCTTTGCTTGGAGCTGAAGGGATATTCATCTATTGTTGAGTTCCCCGCCCCCAGATTTATAACTTTTTAGCATCTCAGATGGTAATGCTTTAGTAAAATGTAATGCTCAAATTTCGGAACTATTTTGATTTCTGAAAAATGCCTTTTTGGCTTCAACAACACGGGATCCTGTTTTTTCTTCACAAATCAGTTTACATCATAAATTGCAAACATTTGCAATAAGATCTCAAGATTATTTATTTTACATAACCTCAAGCACTTGACTATGTTAAACCCCAGTACAGAAAGTCAGTGAAATCAGTTTAATGTGTGTCAGGGAATTAAAGAACCACTCCTTTTCAACACATAAACAAAGCATTTAAGATTGTTTTGATTGTCAGTCTTCCAGTTTTTAAACAGTCTTACAATTGGCTATTAATTTTAGAGTCATTCTGTGCAAAAATAATTACTAAAGTTATATCCTGCTTTAGTTAAATGTTTCTGGGCAGAATAAAATGGTGTTCTACATCGGAAAGTGGCTGATTGTTTTTAACATTCTATTATTTTAGTTCAAACATAAATAAAAGTCTGCAATTTCCAATAGGGGGGGAAAGGCCTGAAATAGCTTCTTAATGTGCCATTAGAACAGTTAGTCAAAATGCATTAAAGCAACATCACAAACCCAGAGATAATAAATATGCCATTCTAATGAGAGTGTTAACTTATGGATAATTTATTCAAGGTAGTTTGAACATTTCACATGGAATGTTGTATTATGATCTGCTTGACTACTGTGATGCTTGTTCTTTAAAATCTAATTTATATAGGCTTGGGATATACATAATTCATAACTCCTGTTGATACATGTATACACACCCCAAATTTTAAATCTTTACAATATGTATGGATGTTTACTGACATGTTGGCAAGACAATTGAAATAAAAACATGAAAAGTGTCAAACATTACATTGCAAGCAAGTGCTTGCTTGCCCTATGCTTGAAGAAAAAGTAGCTGGAAATGAAAAAATTAAAAGGCTCAGGTAAAGAGGGAAAATGGAAATATTTCAGACAGGGAGCATTCTTGCATAAGAAACATGAAGATCCCCAAGAAAGACTTGGGGTGTGAGTGTAGACACTTCTGTGCCTAGGCAACACTTTCAGGTCTTTCCCTCCCAAAGCAAGCAAACAACATCTTGGGGCACTGTACACATCAGTCAAGGTAGCATTGCATATGTATTCAGTACAGAAAAATTTAGTATAGTACTTAACATGGAGTTCTACTGGCATGAGGAAAGGTTTTAGAATATAATCAAATAAATCACATGGAGAGCAGCAAGCACACTTTTTTTTTTCCTCGCTGAACAAACTGCTCACATGTCCTGAGCAAGGATCTCTATAGACCTTTATTCATGCACTCTGGAACCACACTTCCTAGGTTCCGATCTCATTGCTACCATAGACCAGCCCCGTGGTTTTGAATGAGTTCATCTTTCCAGGCCTCGGTTTCCTTATCTGTAAACAAATATAAAAAATAGTGTCTGTCCCATGGAGTTGTTAGGTAGAAGAGTGCCTTGAACATGTATAAAAAGCATTAAATGACAATTGTTTTTATAAAGAGGTCAAAAGCATTGAGCTTTGGAATATGAATCTGAGAAAAAAATTAAGTAGTGCAAGGCAAGGAGTGAATACTTCCCTCTCTGGGCAAGAGGAAAATATTGCCTACCAGTGTGTGATTCTAGCTAACTGCTTAGCC